TATAATTATGACTCCTTTTTTTTAACTGCCTGATTACTTAGTTGTTTTTTTTTCCAGTTCCTCATTTTTATTCTGTGTCTTTCTTTTCAAATGTGTGGGGTTTTTTGTAAGCAAGTGTCAGGCTTTGTTTTCTTAGCAAACCTGTTATTTTTTTATTTTATTGGATTGTTTAATTCTCACATTTAATGTTATGAGCGGTAAGGTTTATATTTTCCTCCATTAATGTCTTTTTTTTGGTCCAGATCAGGATTTCCCCCCTCTTCCTCTGTAAACAAAAAACTTTGTCTCTTAGATTATTTTAGCTTAATCTGCTTTAGAGCAACCTTATTCCTCTCAACTCTCTTCCTCTCATGCCCAGGCCCACTCCTGTACTCTTTTCTGTAGTTTTGGAGTTTTGCTTAATTCATTAGTTCCTTTTTTCTTCTTCCTTTTTTCTAGTTATTTAATACTTCTCCCCCTTTATTTTCCTCTCAGTTAAGTAGTTAAGCAAAATTCCCCTTCCTCTCCTCCCTTTCAACTTATTTCATTTGTTAGTTTTTTATTTTCTCTACCTTTTTCAAAAAGGATTCCCCCTCATTCTCTTCATTATTTATCTTCCCTTTTGGTCTATTCTAGACCTTTATCCTTTGATTCATCACCCTTATAGCTTAAGTCCTTCTTCTTTGTATTCCTCATGGAATTAAATCTTCTAAGGTACCTACTTTGGGTTTCCTCTTCTATCCAGTTTCTGTGTTATTTTCTTGTAGCTCTTCAACCTTTTTCTAGCAGCCTTTTTCTGTTTTCTCTCATTCTCAGAAATGCCAGTTCATGCAGGTGGTAGAGTATCGCCCCACGGGAGGAATTCTTCTACGGCCGTGATTGTGCAATTCATCATTAATCTTTGTTTTAGCTATGGTCATTTCTCCCCATTTGCCTTGAAATATCTGTCCCCATACCCTTCTGTAAGTTGGCCCTAGGAGTTCTGATTCCTCTTTTCCTGAGATGCCTCCTCTTTGCACCAAATCCTGATAGATTATACCCATTGAAAGTTCCCCACTTCCCTTTATAGAATACCTCTCTTCCCCCACAAGAGCATCTTTCAGTGATATCACCTTCCCACCACAGAAATAAGATTTCTTTCTTTCCCCTTAACTTCCTCCCATTGCCTCCTTACCCATTCTCCTCTAGGTTCCCTTCTTGAGAGACTAAGGGAGTTATTTTTTTCCTTCATTGTTAGCCTTTGACTTGATTAAGGTACATCATATCCTTCCTTTATATTCACCCTCTACTATTTCTTTTTATTTGCCATCCTGTTTTGTAATTCTGTCCCATTAAAAAAATGATTCACCTGTAGGTGGAGTGTTGTGAGGTTTAATGAATGGTATTTGGAGCCTATTTCTCCGCCATCACTTCTACTTGATTTCTCTTTTCACTGTTGTCTCTGTACTTCAAGAAAGAAAATTTTTAACGATGTCTCTGTTGTGATGTTGTTGTTCTTCTTGGTTGCTGTATTTCTTTACTTTCTTGTATATCTGTCATCTAGCCTTTGTGAAAAGTAAGTTATTTGTTCAATTCTGGTTTCCTTCCTAAGATCGCTTCAAATGCCTCTTTTTATTGAATGCCCATATTTTTTTAAGTTCAGTTCAGGTTTGCAGGGTATGTCACCTTGGGTTACATCTTGAGCTCTTTGGCTCTTTAAAACACATCATTCTGTTTTATCCTTTGATTTCTGGTGAGTTCAGAATACTCATGTTATCTGAATTTGCCTTCCTTTATTTCTGAAGGTCTTTCTTTTGGTTGCTTATAGAATTTCTTGTTTGTCATTGGCTTGTTAAATTTAATCACAATATGTCTTGGACTTTGAAGCATAGTTTTTGTTTGTTTTGTTTTATTTTTTGTTTTGTTTTATTCTTTTGGAGGAAATAATTAGATTCTTTAGATTGGCACTTTACTTTCTCTGTTCAGAAGTTCTGGATAGTTTTTATGTATTTTTTTTTTTTTGCTTATCGTGTTCAAGATTTTTTTCTTTGTTATGTTCTTTTGGGAGACCTATAATCCTGAAGTTGTCTCTACATATGTCCTGTCTTTGAGATCAATGTTTTGCTTGGATGGAAATCATGTTTTCTTTTAATGGTATTGGGGTTTTTTTTGCTTCAAGATTATCCTCTTTGTTTTTGTACTCCCAGTTATCCTCTGTTTTGGTTGTTTCTTTGGTGACATATCGTCACGAGTTGAATGGTTTCTATTCTGTCAATTATTTCTGCTGTGTAGGCCATAAGTTACGCTTTCACAAATTTTATGTCTTTTAAACTATTCAGGAACATCCTACTGTTATTCCATGATCTCTTAAGAATCCTCATGGTACTCTGCTTCATCAGATGTTGATTAATTTTCCTTTGTCTGGCAAAATTTATTTATAGATATCTTTACTCTTTTAGTGGATCTGTAAGCCATATTGCTTTCTGTTATTGTTATACTCTGTTTGCCTTTAACTGAGTTTTTTTAATCTTCAGAGATCTTTGGTAATTTTAGTCTTTTTTCTGTATTTTCTCCTATTGCTCACTTTTTTACTACTTCCCGTTTGATTTTTTTCTCCCTGGAAGTTGTACTTCAAAGCCATCTCAGTGTCCTTGCACGCTAAGCAATCCACATTTCATTTTCCTCTATCTCTCCACTAAGTGTTTTCTGGGGGAACAGAATTGGCCCCAGTTGGAAAAGAGGTTCTTTTGTTCAGGCTTGTAGAGTGCCCCACGTGTTCCGCTTCACTTCCCTCTGTTTCTTAGTTCTCTGGCTGAGTTCTGTTGCAGCACAGAGCATTGCCATGCTACTGTACCAGCCTGAGCAAGCATTAGCTTTTTGCAGATTGGTTGGGGGTGCCATTGAGGCAGCACAGTTGAGTTCTGTTGCAAGTCAGTGCACTGGCTTGTGTTGCCCTACTACTGCAGAAGAATGGTGGGTGGTGGGAAAAGGGATTGAATGAATATGCTAGGGAATAGCCTTCTCTGCTGTTAGTTCATTTAATTGTTATCTTGTAGAGTTCTTAGTATCCCAGACCAGTGGTATCAAACTTGAACAAAAATGGAGACAAAGTCACTCAATCATATATAAGAATCCTTGCAGGCCACATAATGTCTTGGAAAGCAACATATTAATATTGTCTATGTTTTATTGCCTTTTCATTTACTTTGTTAAATATTTCCCAATTACAATTTAATCTGGTCCACTCAGGAGTGTTGCGGGCTACATGCAGCCTGCAGATTATGTGTTTGACACCTCTGTCTTAGACTATGGAGATAGCTGGAATTGCTTTATCTCTTGCTCACAACTCCTGTTTTGGAGAGTTGCACTTCAAAGCTATCTTTGGCTAACTGGAAAGGTTTGAAAAATGTCTGCATCATGTGACCTTGAATTCATCAATGATCTCTTAATTGACAAATCTAATGGCTTTTTCTCAATCCTTGTTCTTTTTTTGACCTCTATAGCCCTTGACAACATTCATACTTCCCCCCACTCCACTCCCACCTGGATACTTTCTTCTCTCTAGGTTTTCTGGACACTGCTTTATCCTGGTTCTCTTCCTACTTTTCTGATCTCTCCTCAGTCTTCTTTGCTGCATCTATGGCCAGCCATTCCCACTCACTATGGTTGTCCCACTAGTCTCTGTCCTGGGCCTTTTTTGCTTCTCCTTTTATACTATCTCACTTGGGGATCTCATCAGCTCTCATGGATTCATTGACCATCTCTATGCAGCTGATACCGAGATCTACTAATCTAGTGTTTACATTTCTCCTCACCTCCATTTTCATATCTCCAACTGCCAACTGGACATCTCTAACTGCATATCCTACAAACATTTTAAACTCAACGTGTCTAAAACTGAGCTCGTTATCTTTCCCCTCAAACCTCCCTTTTCTGCCTACCTTCCCTATTAGTGTTGGGTGCCACCATCTTTCCAGTCATTTCAGGCTACTAGCCTATGTGTCATCCTCAACACTTAGCCTTCACTCCACACTCAATGTTGTCAAATCCTGTTGATTCTACCTTCACAACACTTCTCATATCTCACTTCTTCTCTCCTCTGACACTGCCACCATCTTGGTTCAGGAGCTCATCCCTTCATGCCTGGATTATTGTAATAGCAATATGGATGGGATTCCCCGCCTCAAGTTCCTCCCAACTTTATTCCAGCCTCCATGTAGCTGCCACTGTAGCGCGAGTCTGAATATCTCACCCCTCTCTTCAATAAAATCCAGTGGCATTCAGGGTCAAATATAAAATCCTCCATTATGTGCCAGGTACTGAGGCAGGCACTAGAGTATCAGAGATACACAAATCAAATGGTCTCTGATCTCAAGGAACTCATATCTGGGAAAGACAACATGTATATATTTAAATGCACACAGAATACACACTAAATAAACAAGACAATTTCACTTCCATGTGGAAGTTTTCTTTGTGGCGTAGATGATACTCTCTGCATTAATACACGAAGAATTATGCAAAAGAGAACAACATGTGGTGGCCTTCTACGATTTCTCTTTACCACAAGATAGACGTTGATTTTCAAAAAAATCGCCTAGATGTGAAATCTAGAGAGGAAGGTACTCAGCTCAGGAGTATAAGAGACGGTCTTTAGCTTTTCAGTGTCACTTAAACTAAATATACATCTTTTACTATTTTACCATATTGCAAATGAGCTAATTACAGTCTTCCTGAAAACCTGCCTAATCTATTCCTTGTTTTCTTTTCCTCAGGTACTCTGAAAATTCACTTATCTGCTGTTTCTTCCTATATTCATTTATATTCAATAAAGAGGACAGTTGAGCAATCCTGTTTCCCAGTAATCGAATGAGAGAGTCAGAAATAAAATTAGTCACTGTGACTGTCTGGAGGAAAATAAAACCTTTTAAAACAGACACACTCTTAATACATGACTTAAGTATTAGCTAGGGAACTGGCAAAGTTATATGGTTTGCATGTTAATCAGGTAAGACAAAATGAAACAAGACAAAAATGAATACCTTTGCAGAGGCATGATTTCACAAGCCATTGCAGTATCAAAGTTTACAAGGGGATCATGGAACTGCTTCTTCTGTAACAGATCTGGTAGTCTCTGAATTCAGGCAACTTCTTCTAAGATGGGTCTTCACCCCAAGGACTGTGTTGGGATTGGCAGCCGCAGGCTGTATGCTGCAAACTCGTAGCCAAGGGAGTCGGCGAGTTCCTGAAAAATCGAGCCTACTGCTTCTCGAGGTCCACACAGTTCTTCCAGCAGGGCTATTCCTCTTATAATCACTCTGCAGTCCTCTTTGACCTTTTGTTCCGAGGAAGCAGCTGCGCTGGACAGCCAATCAGAAGGAGCAGTGACCGCAGTTCTGCATACTTACCTCCCTCCTCCTACGTAGGGGCTTGCCATCCTGGTAACTGGAAACTTTCTCTCCAGGAGTCCCACAGCCAACCCTGTCAGTCTGGGGAAGGCAACCAATAAATGCTTTGGAAGAAACCTTCCAAACCTCTAAGCATGACAGGGATTGCCAGCAAGAAAAAAAAAACAAAAAAAAAAACCCAAAAACAATTTACCAAGAGAAGGCAGTGCCTCTCCTGGGCTAGACGCTCAGAATCTGAAGGACTGATTGGCAGAAGTTGGTAGCAGTCGGCTTGGAAGAGACCAAGCTCTTCTAAAAGACACTCTCTTCTACTTCTGCGTGTACAGACTTGTATTTCCTGCAGATGTTTATTTACACTGCAGTAGTTACTAAGTAGGGACATCCCATCTGGCTTGCAGGTTTCACTCTTGGTACTCCTTAAGGGAGCTAATGATGCAAGACGCTGCACTAGGCTCCTAGAGAGCAAAAGCTACAGTTACTTTCTGTCATGACATTGCTAAAATCTGTTATTTTTCTTTCTTTTTTAACAAATTCAATAAATTATATTGACTCACACAGCAATCCTCTTTAAAAGTATCCTGCACAGAATACATCAGATCAAACTTCAATGCTCTTATTTTTTTTTAAATGAATGTTACTTATGAAACCGACAGCGTATCATTTGACCCTGAGATCCCACTAATAGGACTGTATTCTAAGGTTATTAAAAGGGAAAGAAAATGACCCATCAGAAAAAGAATGTTCATTGTAGCTTTAATAGTAACAATAACTGAAACCTCCTACTATAAACAACCTATATGCTAAAAACTTGTAGAGAGGCTAAATAACTTAATTAAATATTATTGTGCCGCGGGAAATGATAAAGATGAAGGCTATGTGCAAATATGGGAAAACATAAAGAATTTCAGAATCTTACAATTAAGAGATGTCAGAAACTTTGTATTCTACCATCCACCTGAACAATAGTCTCTCCCATAAAGTGATGCAAAATGGAAAAAAGCAGAATTAAAATAATATAAACATTATGATTTAACAACATTAAAAGAGGCGGAGTATAGTAGATAGCAGGAGCTTGGCCAGCCCTGTGACCCAAGGCAGATAGTGAACTTCACATTGCCATGAGGAGAGGACACTTCTTCATGGATACTTCCCTAGACCAAGGAAATAACAAGCCTGGTTTTTACAAAATTTAAAATATAGTAATGTACAGAGAAGCAGAGATCAAGAGACACAGAAATAAATTATTACACATAGAAATGGGTAGCGTGCCATCTTGGATAGAGTGCTGCACGTGGACTCAGGAAGACTTAAACTACGTGTGACTCTGGGCAAGTCACTTAATTTTTCTTTGCCCACAAATTCCTCATCTGCAAAATGGACATAACAATAGCATCTACATCACAAGGTTGTTGTGGGAAACACCCTGGCAAAGTGCATGGGGTACTGCACCTAGAGTCCGAAAAATCTCCGTTTGAATCCTGCCTCAGATATTAACCAGCTACGTAACCCTGCAAAAGTCATTTCTGCCTCAGTCAGCTAGCATTTATTAAGAACCTACTATGTGCCAGGCACTGTGTTAGTTTTCTCATCTGTAAAATAAGGAGGTTAGACATGATGATTTTTAAGGTATCTTCCACCTTTACCTCTATGGTCCTAGAATGAGAAGCACTTTGCAAGTTTTAAAGGATTATATAAATGTTCTTTCTTATTTTATTGTTTTTTTAAAGTTCATACAGAAATTGAACACAAAGGGTAAGAAGTTTAGAATTTACATTTTGGGTTTGATTTTGCTTTTATTCTGTTTTGATATTATTAAGTTTATAATAAAATTATTCTAAAATGCTAACAGGATTTCTTTATGTCTTTCTATTAATTACTGGATGTTTCCATTTTGTGTTTTATTCTGATGTCTCATTAAAATTAAACACAGGGTACACATGAGAAAAGTGTTTAATAAACCTTAAAATGCTACAGAACCGTGAGCAATAACCACTATGGACCAATGCTGGAACTAGAATGAGGATTGCCTAATTCCTAATTTATTCCTAATCTTTTCACAGAATTAACTAAAATACCGCTTCCAAATTCAATTTAGTACAACACACATTAAGTAATTTACTCACTGTGTGAAGCATTCTGGTGTTTAGAGTTAATCAGATGACCTAGTTTTAAATTCCTTCTTTGCTGTATATGTCTCTGGTAAAGACACATTATTATTATGGGCCCCCTCAGTTTCCTGATTATAGTATGAAAGCATTAGATTAGATAATAGGACTGTACCAAAGATTCACCTAAAATGAAAATCCTGTGATGCTGAGTTTTTAAAGCAATTTGTAATAAACCAATCTTAATCTAAATCATCATTACAAGTAATCATTGAGGTTAAAGTGATAGAAATCACAGTTGGTGTTCTTTGAACTACTTGTACACATAGCACTACTTCTTTCTTGGATATTTTAATATATCTGTTTGTGGCCCAGATAGTTGGCATGAAACCTGTTTTACAGAAGCAAAGTAAGACACAAGACAAAAGAATTATGATATCCCGTGTTTCCAGCCTCCCTAGAACCTCAGCTCGATGTAAAAAAATTTTAAAATAAATATCATTAGAATAGGTCAAACCTGGTGCATGGGTTAGCTTTTACTTCTCTGGACTAGCCGCTGACTAATGCCAAAATGCTTATGCTCATTAAGAACAAAAAAGAGAATTGTATATGACAGTGATAACTTCTACTGTATACATTTATTTTTAAAAAACTATACATTCATGGGGCAGCTAGATGGCGCAGTGGATAGATCACCTGCCCTGGAAGTCAGGAGGATCTGAGCTCAAATTTGACCTCAGATATGTAACACTTACTAGCTATGTGACTCTGGGCAAGTCACTTAACCCCAATTGCCTCATGCCCCCCCCCACAAAAACCCCAAAACAATAACCAAAAAAACCTATATATTCACTTTGACAAAGTAGTCAAAAAATGTACTATTTATGTCCCTGTCTAAAATTCTTTTTGTTTTCTTTTGTTTTAAAATTTTTATTGATGCTCTTTTTTTTTAACATCTCTTTTATTTCCCAAGACCTCATTCCCCTTCCAATAGAAACTTTCTCTTGCAATAAAAATGTATACTCACCCAAACAAATCAGTATACCGACCATGTCTAAAACTATACATCTCATTCTACATCTCTGGTCCATCACCAGTGAGAGTTATTTAACTTGTCCACAGAAGGCAAAACTAAGCATGAATGGATGGAAGCTTAAAAGAGAGAAATTGGAGGTTACTATATGGAAGAACTATATATAAGAATGGGGGGAAGGGAACAAGCATTTATTAAGTGCCTACTATGTGCCAGGAGCTATGCTAAGTGCTTTAAAAATATTGTCATTTAATTCTCACAACCACTCTGAGAAGTAGGTGTTATTATTATCCCCTATTTTACAGTTAAAGAAACTGAGGCAGAGATTATGTGTCTTGCCCAGGATTACACAGCTACTAAGTGTCTCAGGCTGGAGTTGAACTAAAGTCTTCCTGACTGCCGGTCCAGCACTCTAGCCTTTGTGCCACCCAGCTTTCAAGAACTAGAGTTAGTATGCCCCAACGACTATAAAAGTGTGCATAACCTTTGACCCAGCAATAGCACTTCTAGGGCTCTATCCCAAAGAGATCATAAAAATGGGAAAAGGACCCATATGTACAAAAATATTTATAGCAGCTCCTTTTGTGGTGGCAAAGAATTGGAAATTGAGGGGATGCCCATCAGTTGGAGAATGGCTGAACAAGTTGTGGTATATGAATGTAATGGAATAGTATTGTGCTATAAGAAATTATGAGCAGGGGGGCAAATAGGTGGCGCAGTGGATAGAGCACTGGCCCTGAAGTCAGGAGGACCTGAGTTCAAATCTGGCCTTAGACCAAACGCTTTACACTTACTAGCTGTGTGATCCTGGGCAAGTCACTTAGCCCCAGTTGCCTTAAAAAAAGAAAGAAAGAAAAAGAAATGATGAACAGGCAGACTTCAGAAAAACCTGGAAAGACTTGTATGGACTGATGCTGAGTGAAGTGAGCAGAACCAGGAGAATATTATACACAGTAACAGCCACATTGTGCAATGTCTAATATTGATAGACTTAATCCTTCTCAGCAATACAAGGATTTAAGATATCTCCAAAGGCCTCATGATGGAAAATGCTATCCACATCCAAAGAAAGAAAGGAGTTTGAATGCAGATCGAAGCATATTATTTGCTATTTTTTTTCTTTTGTTATGTTTTGTTTCCTCTTTCTTGTGGTTCCTCCTATGGGTTCTAATTCTTACGTACAACATCACTAATGTGAAAATATGGTTAATAGGAATGTATATGTATAGCCTGTATCAGATTGTGTGCTGTTTTGGGGAGGGAGGGGGAGAAAAATTTAAAATTGAAAAGCTTATGGAAATGATTGTTGCGAAATCAAAATAAATAAATTAATAATAATAAAAAAAAGAATTTGAGTTAGCCAAAAGTAGACCAGCTGCCTTGGGAAAGAGGATTCCCTCTCAGAAGACAGGGAATATTATGACTCTCTCCACAGATTCCCTCCTAACTGAACAAAAACCAAACAAATATCGACAGTATGTATAGTCCAGCAAAATAAATACCCGTATTCTTCATAACCTAACCATTCTGATATCCCTTCCTCTGGCGGGAAGTAGATGGCATGATTCAACTTCGGTACTCTGGACTCATGATTTATCATTGTATTAATCTGAGTTTGCAGTCTTTTTCTCTTTAATGTCAGCATGTAAAAAATTTCTCCAGTTCTGCTCACTTCATTCCCCTCAAGTAGAGATTTTCTAGCAGAGGTTGAATGACCTATTGCCAGGTAAATAATAAAGGAGATGTTGGGTCACATGGCTCTCAGGTCCCTTCCAGTTTTGAAATTCCATGATTATGTGACCTTAGAAATCTTTCAAGCCTTGTATGTTATTACTACATCTGTCCTAAACTGGTTATTTAGGTATTTTCTTCAGAGTGTTTAGTTGGCT